CGACTAAACTAGACTGGTCCAAAACACTCCCCTCAGCATTGACACACATGTGGAGCTTTGGGCCAAGAGCCACTTTTGGACCATCCTAGGGCTGGGCGATATGGCAAAAAAAAAAAATCTCCGATTTTTTCACACCAAATCCGATTTTCGATTTTAATCGATTAATTTTTTTCTATTTAAAAACAAACTACAACTGACAAAGAAATAGATTTTCCTTTATGCAGTTTAATCTAAATCCCCATGGAGCATAAGTGTAACAGGAATTAAGCCTTAAAACATGCTTGTAAACGAGATGGCCCTGCCATTGTAAACAGTGAAAATGTAGCTTAACAGTTTTATAATAACTTCACTTACAATGACACTATGCACCTTCAAAATAACTTAAATCACACAAACAAGGCCCATCGCAAATATATCAATCCTATTAAACATGCATTATTTACATGAAATATCACATTTTTAAAACTGATTACTCAAAATAGAAATGTTGTAACAGACAGTCTTTTCCAAAAGCCTCCTCGGGTTTTCATGCTTGTTCTTTCAACTGTGCCTGAGTAACTGTGCTGTAGTACAACGCTCGGTCCAGCTGGTGGCGCTAATACTAACTTCAGTGACTCCCGCATTGTGCGAGCTTCCTGTTTACATTCTGATGCTGTAGCTAACAGCTACTGTAGCAGCTACTGTAGCAGCTACTGTAGCTAACAGCTACTGTAGCAGCTACTGTAGCTAACAGCTACTGTAGCAGCTACTGTAGATAACAGACAGCGGGGAACACGTTGTTTGTATCAGAGCAATGAGAGCAATGTGTGAGACGTGTCTTTCCCCAAAGTGCAGCGGCTCAGTGGGACACGAGTGTGTGAGCGCCACGGACACGGGAGTGCGCTTTGGAATAACGAGCGTGAAAGATGTGGCGTACGAACATGGCGTACGAACATAGCGACCGGAGCCTGCGTGCGTGTGTGTGTGTGTTCTGGCGATTAAATAAAGTCTGATTCTTGAACGTTTGAAGTGTTATTGCAACAGCACCAACTGTGAGAGCGAGCATCAGGCCAGAGGGAGACTGTTAGCATTAGGTTAGCTTCAAAATGACTGCTCAACACCATAGACCCGCGGTTAGCGCGTTAGCGCTGTAGTTCTGCGCTGGAGAAAATAAAAATCGAATTTTTAAAAAAAGAAATCGCCCTAAACGTAAAACTCGAATTAATGATTAAAATCGATTAATCGCCCAGCCCTAGACCATCCCTTAAAGGTGTTTTTGAGAGGTCAGCTAATGCTATATGTTAGCATTGGCTAATTCTTATTCTGGGTCCACCCCCATCGGCCCGGGGTAGTATTGTAGCATGTCAGCGCACATCATTTTGGCCACTTTTGAGCCGGGACCCGCCCCCACTGGTCCCATCCCACAAGCCATTCATTTGAATAGGACGCCATCTTGGATCACTGGAGCTTGGTGTTCCTCCTGGTCGTCTCTCTAGGCGTGTCTCACTGGAAAGAGGTCCTGACAAAACCAAGGACACGCTACAATGTTCCGGATCAGTTTATCACATTTTAATTTTTGTGTTGATAAATTGACACCTTTTAATCTGTAGTCAGTCATCAATGACATGTTTGAGTTCTCACAGGTCTTTCTCCATCCATCCATCCATCCATTTTCTTCCGCTTTATCCGTTGCCGGGTCGCGGGGGCAGCAGTCTAAGCAGAGACGCCCAGACTTCCCTATCCACACACACCTCCTCCAGCTCGTCCGGGGGGAACCCAAGGCGTTCCCAGGCCAGCTGAGAGACATAGTCTCTCCAGCGTGTCCTGGGTCTTCCCCGGGGCCTCCTCCCGGTGGGACGTGCCCGGAACACCTCCCCAGGGAGGCGTCCAGGAGGCATCCTGAACAGATGCCCGAGCCACCTCAACTGGTTCCTCTCGACGTGGAGAAGCAGCGGCTCTACTCCGAGCTCCTCCCGTGTGACTGAGCTCCTCACCCTATCTCTAAGGGAGCGCTTGTATCCGCGATCTCGTTCTTTCGGTCATTACCCAAAGCTCATGACCATAGGTGAGGGAGGGAACGAAGATTGACCGGTAAATCGAGAGCTTCGCCTTTCGGCTCAGCTCCCTCTTTACCACAACGGTCCGATACAGAGACCGCATCACTGCGCACGCTGCACCGATCCGCCTGTCAATCTCACGCTCCATTCTTCCCTCACTCGTGAACAAGACCCCGAGATACTTGAAATCCTCCACTTGAGGAAGGACCTCTCCACCCACCTGGAGAGGGCAAGGCACCTTTTTCCGGTCGAGCACCATGGCCTCGGATTTGGAGGTGCTGATTCTCATCCCAGCCGCTTCGCACTCGGCTGCAAACCGTCCCAGTGCATGCTGCAGGTCCTGGTTCGTTGGAGCCAACAGGACGACATCATCCGCAAAAAGTAGAGATGAAATCCTGTGGTTCCCGAACCGGACCCCCTCCGGCCCCTGGCTGCGCCTAGAAATTCTGTCCATAAATACAGTGAACAGAACCGGTGACAAAGGGCAGCCTTGGCGGAGGCCAACATGCACCGGGAACAGGTCTGACTTACTGCCGGCAATGCGAACACAGCTCTGGCTCCGGTCATACAGGGACCAGACGGCCCTCAGCAGAGGACCCCGGACCCCGTACTCCCGGAGGACCCCCCAAAGGACACCCCGGGGAACACGGTCGAACGCCTTCTCCAAATCCACAAAGCACATGTGGACAGGTTGGGCGAACTCCCATGAACCCTCGAGTATCCGATGGAGAGTATAGAGCTGGTCCAGTTTTCCGCGACCGGGACGAAAACCACACTGCTCCTCCTGAATCCGAGATTCGACCATCGGACGTAGCCTCCTCTCCAGTACCTTGGAGTAGACCTTACCGGGGAGGCTGAGGAGTGTGATCCCACGATAATTGGAACACACCCTCCGGTCCCCCTTCTTGTAGAGAGGGACCACCACCCCGGTCTGCCACTCCATTGGCACCGCCCCCGATTGCCACGCGATGTTGCAGAGACGTGTCAGCCAAGACAGTCCTACAACATCCAGAGACTTTAGATAGTCAGGACGGATCTCATCCACTCCCGGCGCCTTGCCACCATGGAGGCTGCCAACCACCTTGGTGACCTCGGCCAGGGAGATGGAAGTGTCCGCCCCAACATCCTCAGCCTCTGCCTCCTGAAGGGAGGACGTGACGGGGGGATTGAGGAGAACCTCGAAGTATTCCTTCCACCGCCCGACAATATCCTCAGTCGAGGTCAGCAGCCCTCCACCCGCACCATACACGGTGTTGGCAAAGAACTGCTTCCCCCTCCTGAGGCGCCGGACGGTTTGCCAGAACCTCTTCGAGGCCGACCGATAGTCATGCTCCATGGACTCTCCGAACTCCTCCCAGTCCCGGGTTTTTGCCTCTGCAACAGCCCGGGCCGCGGCACGTTTGGCCTGCCGGTACTGGACAGCTGCCTCAGGAGTCCCACGAACCATCATTGCTCGATAGGACTCCTTCTTCAGCCTGACGGCATCCCTTACTGCCGGTGTCCACCACCGGGTTCGGGGATTGCCGCCGGGACCAGCACCAGAGACCTTGCGACCACAGCTACGAGCCGCCGCATTGGCGATAGAGGAAGAGAACATGGTCCACTCGGACTCGATGTCCCCCTCCTCCGCCGGGACCTGGGAGAAGCTCTCCCGGAGGTGTGAGTTGAAAGTCCGTCTGACAGGGGGCTCCGCGAGACGTTCCCAGCAAACCCTCACTATACGCTTGGGTCTGCCAGGTCTGACCGGCTTCTTCCCCTGCCAGCGGATCCAACTCACGACCAGGTGATGATCGGTTGACAGCTCCGCCCCTCTCTTTACCCGAGTGTCCGAGACACGCGGTCGAAGGTCAGATGATACGACAACAAAGTCGATCATCGACCTCCGGCCTAGGGTGTCCTGGTGCCACGTGCACTGGTGGACACCCTTGTGCTCGAACATGGTGTTTGTGATGGACAGGCCGTGACTGGCACAGAAGTCCAACAACTGAACACCGCTCGGGTTCAGATCAGGGGGGCCGCTCTTCCCGATCACCCCTCTCCAAGTGTCACTGGCATTTCCCACATGGGCGTTGAAGTCCCCCAGGAGAATAACGGAGTCCCCGGGCGGTGCACTGTCCAGTACCCCTCCCAAGGACTCCAAGAAGGCCGGGTACTCTGCACTACCGTTAGGCCCGTAGGCCGTCACAACAGTGAGAGACTTGTCCCCCACCCGGAGGCGGAGGGACGCGACCCTCTCATTCACCGGGGAGAACTCCATCACGTGGCGGCTGAGATGGGGGGCAATGAGTATGGCCACCCCAGCTCGCCGCCTCTCCCCGCGGGAAACACCAGAAAAGTGGAGCGTCCAACCCCTCTCAAGGAGTTGGGTTCCAGAGTCCAAGCTGTGTGTGGAGGTGAGGCCGACTATCTCTAGTCGGTATCGCTCAACCTCCCCCACAAGCTCGGGCTCCTTCCCCCCCAGTGAGGTGACGTTCCACGTCCCAACAGCCAGATGTTGGGTGTGTGGACTGGGTCGTCGAGGTCGCCGCCTTCGACCGCTGCCCAGTCCTCGCTGCACCACGCCACCACGGACCCCTCTGCAGGTGGTGGGCCCACAGGAGGGACTGCCCACGTCATCCCTTCGGGCTGAGCCCGGCCGGGCCCCGTGGGCTAAGGCCCGGCCACCAGGCGCTCGCTTGCGAGCCCCGACCCCAGGCCTGGCTCCAGGGTGGGGCCCCGGCTGCGCCATGCCGGGCGACGTCACGGTTTTTGTTGTCGTGCTGTCCATGGTTTGCTTCGGACTGCGCTTCGTCTGACTCGTCACTTGAGACCTGTCTGCCATGGGAGGCCCTACCAGGGGCATGAAGCCCCAGACAGCATAGCTCCCAGGATCATCCGAGTGCTCAAACTCCCCCACCACGTTAAGGTGGCAGTCCAAGGGGGACAGGTCTTTCTCAGTATTCATAATGTTGCCTCTGTTTTCAGATACATCACGGCTCTGACTGACTCTGACGATGAGGAGGAGGCTGTGGCTGAGAAGCCTGAGGAAGAGCGCCCCCTGGAGGACCCTGTCTGTGCTCTGTTCGAGAGGATCGACCGCCTGCACCAGGGACCGGAGTCCGACAAGAGAGAGAGCCTCAGTCTGCTGCTGCAACAGAGAGAACAGGTCCCACAGCTCTCCCTCTGTCTCTCTCTCTCTGTCTGTCTCTGTCTCTCCCTCTGTCTCTTTGTCTCTCTTTCTCTGTCTGTCTCTCTCTTTGTGTCCCTGTCTCTGTCTCTCCCTCTGTCTCTCTCTCTCTCCCTGTCTCTCCCTCTGTCTCTCTCTGTCTGTCTCTCTCTCTCTCTCTGTCTCTCTCTCTGTGCTATATTGAGATGTGTGGAATATTGGGGCTGGTTCATGAAAATACATATACAAATACACCCAAAAAAATCACACATGAATAAGAACAGACTTACAGAAATAAAACAGCTTATAAAAACATTAACAGATTCAGATTGATGCTTTTTAGATTCTATTGTCTACATAAGTAGACAATAGAAGAACCCACAACTTAGATTTTGTTTACATTTATTTCTGTACTGCCTTAAATCACAACAGCTGTTATCCCGGTGGACTCTAAAAAGCTGTATTTGCCAACAACAGATCAGAATCAAATTTAATGGTTCAAAAAACGCATAGAGACATTGGTCCATCAGAGGCAGAGACCAATGTCCATAAATATTGATAAATGTTCGTAAATGTCCTCAGACCCTTCTGCATCATCAAAGAACCACTGAAAAGCATTGTGTAAAATATGTTTGTTTGACCTTCCTGATGATGTGCTGTTGCAACAATAATCCTGTATGTCATTGGTAATTCGATACCAAACATGTGATACATATTCATAAAGAACCAACTCATATTTCTTAATAACAGTATGATCATGCTTCATAACCAAAAGAAGATTGACAAAGAAAATCCTGCTTCTCTAATATGTCAATAAATGTGCGTATAATTCCGTCTGTGTTTTTTACAGCTGGGACAGAACTCCAGTTTCTTGTGGCGTCTGACTCGCGCCTACAGCGACGTCCACGACTTCTGCTGCAGCCTGGAGGAGAAGAAGCAGCACGCCGAAGACGGTAACTCTAAATCAAGACTAAGACTGCTTTGTTGGGACTAATAAGGAGGATGCAAACACAGCAGTAAAGTTGTAAAAGTGTTGATATCGAGAACTCTTTGAGTCAAGGATCTTTGTGAAAGCTTTTAAGAATAAGTGTTACGTGTTTCATATGGAAGAATTTGCATTATAGAATCACATGTGGCTCTGTCGCTTGAATTAGTCATTTTGTCCCAGAGTTAATCTAGAGGGCTATGGGGAGACCAGAGAGAGACCAGAGAGAGACCAGAGAGAGAGACCAGAGAGAGAGACCAGAGAGAGAGACCAGAGAGAGAGACCAGAGAGAGAGACCAGAGAGATAGACCAGAGAGATAGACCAGAGAGATAGACCAGAGAGAGAGACCAGAGAGAGAGACCAGAGAGAGAGACCAGAGAGAGAGACCAGAGAGAGAGACCAGAGAGAGAGACCAGAGAGAGAGACCAGAGAGAGAGACCAGAGAGAGAGACCACAGAGAGAGACCAGAGAGAGAGACCACAGAGAGAGACCACAGAGAGAGACCACAGAGAGAGACCAGAGAGAGAGACCAGAGAGAGAGACCAGAAAGAGAGAGACCAGACAGAGGGAGACCAGACAGAGAGAGACCAGAGAGAGAGACCAGAGAGAGAGACCAGAGAGAGAGACCAGAGAGAGAGACCAGAGAGAGAGACCAGAGAGAGAGACCAGAGAGAGAGACCAGAGAGAGAGACCAGAGAGAGAGACCAGCGAGAGAGACCAGCGAGAGAGACCAGCGAGAGAGACCAGCGAGAGAGACCAGCGAGAGAGACCAGACAGAGAGACCAGACAGAGAGACCAGACAGAGAGACCAGAGAGAGAGACCAGAGAGAGGGACCAGAGAGAGAGAGACCAGAGAGAGAGACCAGAGAGAGAGACCAGAGAGAGAGACCAGAGAGAGAGACCAGAGAGAGAGACCAGAGAGAGAGACCAGAGAGAGAGACCAGAGAGAGAGACCAGAGAGAGAGACCAGAGAGAGAGACCAGAGAGAGAGACCAGAGAGAGAGACCAGAGAGAGAGACCAGAGAGAGAGACCAGAGAGATAGACCAGAGAGAGAGACCAGAGAGATAGACCAGAGAGAGAGACCAGAGAGAGAGACCAGAGAGAGAGACCAGAGAGAGAGACCAGAGAGAGAGACCAGAGAGAGACCACAGAGAGAGACCACAGAGAGAGACCACAGAGAGAGACCACAGAGAGAGACCACAGAGAGAGACCACAGAGAGAGACCACAGAGAGAGACCAGAGAGAGAGACCAGAGAGAGACCAGAGAGAGAGACCAGAAAGAGAGAGACCAGACAGAGGGAGACCAGACAGAGAGAGACCAGAGAGAGAGACCAGAGAGAGAGACCAGAGAGAGAGACCAGAGAGAGAGACCAGAGAGAGAGACCAGAGAGAGAGACCAGAGAGAGAGACCAGAGAGAGAGACCAGAGAGAGAGACCAGAGAGAGAGACCAGAGAGAGAGACCAGACAGAGAGACCAGAGAGAGAGACCAGAGAGAGAGACCAGAGAGAGAGACCAGCGAGAGAGACCAGACAGAGAGACCAGACAGAGAGACCAGACAGAGAGACCAGACAGAGAGACCAGAGAGAGAGACCAGACAGAGAGACCAGACAGAGAGACCAGACAGAGAGACCAGACAGAGAGACCAGACAGAGAGACCAGACAGAGAGACCAGAGAGAGAGACCAGAGAGAGGGACCAGAGAGAGAGACCAGAGAGAGAGACCAGAGAGAGAGACCAGAGAGAGAGACCAGAGAGAGAGACCAGAGAGAGAGACCAGAGAGAGAGACCAGAGAGAGAGACCAGAGAGAGAGACCAGAGAGAGGGACCAGAGAGAGGGACCAGAGAGAGGGACCAGAGAGAGGGACCAGAGAGAGGGACCAGAGAGAGGGACCAGAGAGAGGGACCAGAGAGAGGGACCAGAGAGAGGGTCCAGCGAGAGAGAGACCATTATCTGTATATTAGTACATTCCCACACACAGTAAGCAGAGACCCAGGGGTTGGCAGCACAATGACAGCTCAGTTCTCGTCTTACAGTGACTCTAGAGAAACGACAGAACCTTCTGTAATAACACTGTTGTCATGTGATTTAGCAAAACTGAAACTGGACCAACCAGTTATTCTCATCATCGTAATGAGAGTCATAAAAAGCAGCTCTGTCTTTCAGCACATGAAACTTGACATGTCGCACGGATCACTGGGCCGCTGAGTGACGAGAGACTTCCTTCCTGGATATTCAGACCTCAGTTTTATTTAGATTCTACTGTAGTCATGTTTTATCAATGTACTGTCATTTTTAATCACATCAATTGAATTTTTATTGACCCAAATCACAACAAGACGTCTCAGAACCGCCTCCTGCCAAGCAACAGACTGGGGACTAGTCCTCGGGTCCAGGGAGTCCAGGGTTTCAGGCTGGGGACTAGTCCTCGGGTCCCAGGAGTCCAGGGTTTCAGGCTGGGGACTAGTCCTCGGGTCCCAGGAGTCCAGGGTTTCAGACTGGGGACTAGTCCTCAGGTCCCAGGGAGTCCAGGGTTTCAGACTGGGGACTGGTCCTCAGAACCAGGGGCTGCATGGTTTCAGACTGGGGACTAGTCCTCAGAACCAGGGAGTCCAGGGTTTCAGACTGGGGACTGGTCCTCAGAACCAGGGGCTGCATGGTTTCAGACTGGGGACTAGTCCTCAGAACCAGGGGCTGCATGGTTTCAGACTGGGGACTAGTCCTCAGAACCAGGGGCTGCATGGTGTCAGACTGGGGACTAGTCCTCAGAACCAGGGGCTGCATGGTGTCAGACTGGGGACTAGTCCTCAGAACCAGGGGCTGCATGGTGTCAGACTGGGGACTAGTCCTCAGAACCAGGGGCTGCATGGTTTCAGACTGGGGACTTGTCCTCAGAACCGGGGGCTGCATGGTTTCAGACTGGGGACTAGTCCTCAGAACCAGGAGCTGCATGGTGTCAGACTGGGGACTAGTCCTCAGAACCAGGGGCTGCATGGTTTCAGACTGGGGACTAGTCCTCAGAACCAGGGGCTGCATGGTGTCAGACTGGGGACTAGTCCTCAGAACCAGGAGCTGCATGGTGTCAGACTGGGGACTAGTCCTCGGGTCCAGTGAGTCCAGGGTTTCCTCTCCCATCAGTGTGTTCATGGTACTCCAGTTTCCCCTACCGCGACCCCGCTCTGTGTGGAGACAAATGACCACATTTGTAAAACTCTTTGTGACTCGGGTCTGTGAAAGGTGCTCTATAAATTAAAATTAATACCAACCCAGGAATTTCACACCATAAAATCCGTCTTGTCATCTTGTTTTTTTGCCAATGTTTGTTCAATGTGACCGAATATAGCAGTTATTTGGCCAAGACAGAAAACAGTTTTTTCTTGCCTGTTGCTCATCAGGGGTCTCTCTCTCTGGTCTCTCTCTGATCTCTCTCTGATCTCTCTCTGATCTCTCTCTGGTCTCTCTCTGATCTCTCTCTCTGGTCTCTCTCTGGTCTCTCTCTTACTGGTCTCTCTCTGGTCTCTCTCTGGTCTCTCTCTTACTGGTCTCTCTCTGGTCTCTCTCTTGTCTCTCTCTCTGGTCTCTCTCTCTGGTCTCCTTCTGGTCTCTCTCTTGTCTCTCTCTCTGGTCTCTCTCTCTGGTCTCCTTCTGGTCTCTCTCTTGTCTCTCTCTCTGGTCTCTCTCTCTGGTCTCTCTCTCTGGTCTCTCTCTCTTGTCTCTCTCTCTGGTCTCTCTCTCTGGTCTCCTTCTGGTCTCTCTCTTGTCTCTCTCTCTGGTCTCTCTCTCTGGTCTCTCTCTCTGGTCCCTCTCTCTGGTCTCTCTCTGGTCTCTCTCTTTGGTCTCTCTCTCTCTGGTCCCTCTCTCTGGTCTCTCTCTGGTCTCTCTCTCTGGTCTCTCTCTCTGGTCTCTCTCTCTGGTCTCTCTCTGGTCTCTCTCTTTGGTCTCTCTGGCCTCTCTTTGGTCTCTCTTTCCGGTCTCTCTCTGGTCTCTCTCTTTGGTCTCTCTGGCCTCTCTTTGGTCTCTCTTTCTGGTCTCTCTCTGGTCTCTCTCTCTGGTCTCTCTCTCTGGTCCCTCTCTCTGGTCTCTCTCTGGTCTCTCTCTTTGGTCTCTCTCTCTGGTCCCTCTCTCTGGTCTCTCTCTCTGGTCTCTCTCTTTGGTCTCTCTGGCCTCTCTTTGGTCTCTCTTTCCGGTCTCTCTTTCCGGTCTCTCTCTGGTCTCTCTCTTGTCTCTCTCTCTGGTCTCTCTCTTTGGTCTCTCTCTCTGGTCTCTCTCTGGCCTCTCTTTGGTCTCTCTTTCCGGTCTCTCTCTGGGAACCCTTTTATTTTGACACAATCCTGTCTTTCCCTTGGTAAAAAGCCAACACTGGTCTAAACAACACTATTGTCCCTGGTCAACACTTTTTCACTTTTCAGTCTGAAAAAGCTGATCTACTGTAAAGCTGTGACAGAGGCCAAACATACATGCACGTGAAAACCAGACTGTTAGGAGAGCTAGGAACTAAATATCACTATGAATTTTAAGACATATTTCTATATTTTGAATGCTGAAACTTTGGGACTCCAGCTTTGAAACCATGGATGGATGGATGGATGGATGGATAGAAAAGTTACAGTAAAAATGTGACAGAGACCAATAATGACCTTTAGAATCGCTAACAGCAGGAGCTAGCATACTAAACTGTATCTGTATCAGTCATAACCATCATTTTTGACTAAAGATTAGATTCATTTTAGAGAAAAGTTCCAACCACTAATCTGAGTTTATGGTTTAAATTGAAGCCGACTTTCCACCTCCCCCTGTAATTATCGTCTCTTTGCTTTTGTGTTGTCTCAGGGAAGCGAGTGGGTGCGGAGGCCGTGCAGCTGAACCCGACGTGCGCCCATAGCCATCAATGGTGCGTGTCACGTTTTTATCCTTCCCCCTCCTTCCTCCCTGCACTCACGGACACAGGTACTTTCCTTCTGAATCCTGAGTGACGTCTTTGCCTCTGGGCTGTTCTCTGTGTGCAGCGCTTCTTACTGGAGCTAAAAAGGAAGAAATCAAAAGAAAAACTTTCACTTTAACAAGGGCTGCATGAGAGAGAGACCAGAGAGAGAGGAGAGAGAGAGACCAGAGAGAGAGAGAGGCAAGAGAGAGAGACCAGAGAGAGAGAGAGGCAAGAGAGAGAGACCAGAGAGAGAGAGAGGCAAGAGAGAGAGACCAGAGAGAGAGAGGCAAGAGAGAGAGGCAAGAGAGAGAGACCAGAGAGAGAGAGGCAAGAGAGAGAGACCAGAGAGGGAGACCAGAGAGGGAGACCAGAGAGGGAGACCAGAGAGGGAGACCAGAGAGGGAGACCAGAGAGGGAGACCAGAGAGGGAGACCAGAGAGGGAGACCAGAGAGGGAGACCAGAGAGGGAGAGACCAGAGAGGGAGAGACCAGAGAGCGAGAGACCAGAGAGCGAGAGACCAGAGAGCGAGAGACCAGAGAGCGAGAGACCAGAGAGCGAGAGACCAGAGAGCGAGAGACCAGAGAGCGAGAGACCAGAGAGCGAGAGACCAGAGAGCGAGAGACCAGAGAGCGAGAGACCAGAGAGCGAGAGACCAGAGAGCGAGAGACCAGAGAGCGAGAGACCAGAGAGCGAGAGACCAGAGAGCGAGAGACCAGAGAGCGAGAGACCAGAGAGCGAGAGACCAGAGAGCGAGAGACCAGAGAGCGAGAGACCAGAGAGCGAGAGACCAGAGAGCGAGAGACCAGAGAGCGAGAGACCAGAGAGCGAGAGACCAGAGAGCGAGAGACCAGAGAGCGAGAGACCAGAGAGCGAGAGACCAGAGAGCGAGAGACCAGAGAGCGAGAGACCAGAGAGCGAGAGACCAGAGAGCGAGAGACCAGAGAGCGAGAGACCAGAGAGCGAGAGACCAGAGAGCGAGAGAACCAGAGAGAGCGAGAGACCAGAGAGCGAGAGACCAGAGAGCGAGAGACCAGAGAGCGAGAGACCAGAGAGCGAGAGACCAGAGAGCGAGAGACCAGAGAGCGAGAGGACAGAGAGCGAGAGGACAGAGAGCGAGAGGACAGAGAGCGAGAGGACAGAGAGCGAGAGACCAGAGATAGCAAGGAACCTGCACTGTACCAAATTACCTTCTGTTTTGTTCTAACTTATGAATCAGTGTTTACCCCTAGAGGCACACAAGGGTATTACAGGGGGTACTAGAATGTATTTTCCAACATTTACAACATTGAAAGTGATAGGTGGAGCAATGGAGCTACTATGACATGTTATACATAATTTTATAGCTGCATTGTCCACACAAAATGCATTTTATTCCAATATTTGAATCCAGAACACAATTGATAATAATCGTCACGCAAAGAAGGTAATAATATGTCTTTCCAGTGGTAAAAAAGACAACACTGGTCTAAAGAACACGCCAAACTATCGCACTGTTGTCCCCGGTCGACATTTTTGGCTGAGAGCTGATTGGCTGAGGGTGGTCCATCTTTTTAAAACAAAATTATTTATTGTCCCATTGGCAAATCTTGTTTTAAGGGAGTCAGAATGTGTTCAAATTAAGACACAGTTTGTCAAATTAGAACTATTTTTAGACTTATTCCTTACCACTTTTTAAGTTTTGATTCGTCTTTGTTTAGAAAAATCTAGCCAAATTCAATGCAAAAATGCTAAATATACTATATATATGAACGCTTGGTTTTTTCATATTTTCAGAGTAAATTCTTTCAGGTAGAGCTCAGTTATACAACACATTTTGACAAGATTTGGAATGAGAAGTGATATTCGGAATGAGAGAATGGCTCTGAGTGTGGCCTCCGTGGGCGCTGTGGGGATTTCCTTTTCGAAGCCTCTTTAAGTGAGGAGTTGCGTCTCTCTGTTGTGATCCCGGTTCCTGTTGGTCCCAAACCCGTCTGCTCTCGATAACATCACCTCAGCGCTGGAATGTAAACAGCGGCTCAGTCTGTGTCTTCTTCTGCTCCAATCGTATCTGATCTGACATCTGCTGCTTCCTGTCTGTAAGAGCTGCTGTCACGTCATTCAGAAAGAGATGGTTACACAGCGACTGTACACAGATGGACCACGCTAACCCGCGAGCTCAGTGAAGGCCAACAGGGAAGTGCTCATAGAGGAAGATTAGCTCCAACTCGCTCTGGCTCCTATTGACTTGCATGTAAAGAATTAAACTCCTCTTGTTTAGTAACTGTTTGGGTCACACCACTCTCTGTGATTCTGGTGTTTATATTGTGCTATTGTCTTTCTACATCTAAAAATCTAGATATAGTCGTAAATGGATCGACCAATCAGATGCCTTCATTCACAGGGGAAACTCCAGCTTGCCTTAGCAACCATCATAGCAACACGTACTTACTTACTTACTCATGTCTTCTTCTGCAGTGACACAGAAAATGCATCTATATAAGGAAGTTAGCTCCAGCTAGCTTATGTTCAAATCGGCTTCTTCTAACGCTATGGTGACGTTAGCACTCAAACACTCGTAATGCTAAGCTCTATGTTCACGGGTCAAATCTGAACAGGTAGCTAGGTTAGCCTGCAACCCAAATTGGTATCAGAAAATTAGCTTAAACATGTATCCTTACCGTTTTCAAGGGGCTGCTGTGGTTAAGGCTTGTGCATGTTCTCAGCATATCAGCATAGGTTTCCTCCAGGTGCTCCGGTTTCCGATACCACTTAAAACTTGTATGATAGGTCTGAATGTAATTATGTAAAGAATGGTGATGGTTGGAGGCTTCGATGCATTCGCCGTCTTGCTTTTGTGAGAATGGAAAAATGTTGCTGCTCCAGAACATTGTAAAGCGTTTGTGTGACCTTAGAATGTGAAATGTATATATAAAGATTACTTGCTGAATATTTCTAGTAATTTAAAAGTTTCCGAGCAGCTCATATGTGGCCTCTCCTCTGGCTCACTGGTTCACAGCGCAGATTGGGTGGGACTGGTTGTATTAATTTTATTTTTAAGATTTCTGATTACAAATAAAACACAATTGTCCTTATACAGAGCTCTTTTGATCCATCAGTTCACTCTTATCAAAGTCGAACCTGAAGTTTGGGTTGAGTTTGAGAACGTACTGCAAATTATGATACAATATGAGGTAAAAATTGCGTGAATCAAGTGGTTTTTATCCTAATTTTAGCACAAATTAGGTTAAAACAAGATTCTCCCATGGAACAAAGCCATTTCTTCTTATTTCAAGAACGGTTACTTAATTTTCTCATTCCAGGAGACATTTCTTCTTTTTAAAACACAATCGTTATAGCCCATTGTCCCATTGGCAAATCTTTCAGAGTCAGAATGTGCTTTTAATTAAGCAATTTTTGACCTATTTCTCATCACGTTTTGCAGTGTAGAGCATTCAGACAGAAGGGGGTTGTGTGTCTGTCCTGATTTTAGCATGAATGGAGCTAAAAACACCTCCAGGTCTGTTGCATGTTTAAAGAGAGAACACTTTGCACGATCTGTCTTCATGACGCAGACAAATTTTACTATAAGCTACAATTTCCTTTTTTTCTGTGTTTACTTTCCTCGACTCTATCATTTTGACGTTGCCTTGACCTGGGCTTAACCTGCGTCCCTCCCGGTTGCTGGTTGCCAGGTGAGTCAGAGGAAAATCCCCTTTTCCACATAATTATTCTGCCGAGTGGCTTTGACATTTGTACATTCTTCTAATAATGGAACTGCTCTCGTGTCCAAACCTGACTCCCAAATCTGCGACCAGTGCCTCCGAGTGAGAGCTGCCAAGTCAAGTGCAATTCTGAACATTTTGTGGAGAAAAAAGTAAAATTAAAAACCAAGAAATAAGCAGCTTTGTTGTATTTTCAGTCTTGACAGTGTTCAGAATATGGGTTTAGTTGGTGCGAGGACAGTAACGATAAGATTAAAACATAATTGATTAATGCAGGACCACAAAGATTTTATACTTAATACTTTAATAAGCTTAAGTTGAATATTTTAGCACATGGACCGGGACTGCCGCTGGGACACGGAAGGAAGCCAAAGGGACCGGACTCCTGCTGGACTCGAGGACACAGGGACCGGACTCCTGCAGGGACTCGAGGACACAGGGACCGGAACTGCCTGCTGGGACTCGAAGGAGCACAGGGACGCGGGACTCCTGCTGGACTCGGAGGAGCACAGGGACCGGGTCTCGCTGCTGGGACTCGGAGGAGCACAAGGACCGACTCCTGCTGGGACTCGGAGGGAGCACAGGGACCGGACTCCTGCTGGACTCGGAGGAAGCACAGGGACCGACTCCGGCTGGGACGCGAGAGCACAGGGACGACTCCTGCTGGGACTCGGAGAGCACAGGTACCGGGGACTCCTGCTGGGACTCGTGAGAGCACAGGGACCGGACTCCTGATGGGACACGGAGGAGCACAGGGACCGGACGCCTGCTGGGACTCGGAGGAGCACAGGGACCGACTCCTCGGGGACTCGGAGGAGCACAGGGACCGACTCCTGCTGGGACTCGGAGGAGCACAGGGGACCCGGACTGGTCCTGCTGGGACGCGGAGAGCACAGGGAATCGGACCTGCTGGGACTCGGAGGAGCAACAGGGACGGATCCGGCTTCTGGGACTCGGAGGAGCTCAGGGACCGACTCCTGCTGGGACTCGAGGAGCACAGGGACCGGACTCCAGCTGGGACTCGGAGGAGCACAGGGACCGGACTCCTGCTGGGACTCGGGGAGCACAGGGACCGGACTCCTGCTGGGACTCGGAGGAGCACAGGGACCGAACTCCTGCTGGGACTCGGAGGAGCACAGGGAACCGGACTCCTGCTGGAACTCGGAGAGCCACAGGGACCGGACTCCTGGCTGGGGACTCGGAGGAGCTCAGGGACGGACTCCTGCTGGGACTCTGGAGAGCCAGGGACCGGACTCCTGCTGGGCTCGAGGAGCACAGGGACGGACTCCTGCTGGGACTCGGAGGAGCACAGGGACCGGACCTGTTGTGGGACTCGGAGGAGCACAG